CACGTATTACAAAACTTTTTGAATGGGATTGAAAAAATGTTGTTACAAATGAGGCAGTTCAGCAAAAACTGTATTCTTTGGACGTCAACAAAGCATGTGGTAGTGATGGTATTAATCCTTACGTACTTAAAAATTGTTTAAGTAGTGTATCAACTCCATTAGCATTAATTTACCGAAAACCAATTGAAACAGGAAAAATTCCTAGCAAATGGAAAGAAGCAAATATTACTCCAATATTCAATAATGGAAATACACCAGACCCGCTTAACTACAGACCCGTATCATTAACATCTGTACCATGCAAAGTTATGGAAGCATAAAAGAAGCAATAATGACTCATCTGATGGAAAATAAATTGCTATCAAAAATTCAACATGGCTTCGTAAAAAATAAAGCCTGTGTAACAAATTTGCTAGAAACATTAGACATTTTAACAGCAAGCATGAGTGACAGTTTAGCGGTAGATATGATTTATATGGATTTTGCCAAAGCCTTTGATAAGGTTCCACATAAAAAACTATTGAAAAAGTGTGAAGCATATGGTATCAAGGGTGTAATAAATGACTGGATATCGTCTTTTTCAAAAGAAAGAAGGCAAAGAGTTTTGATGGGTGTAGACGTGTCTCCATGGCTTGAGATTTTTAGAGGTGTGCCTCAAGGCTCTGTGCTTGGTCCTTTGTTATTTTTGATATTCGTAAATGATCTACCATCAATTATTAATTCCAATTGCAAATTATATGCAGATGACAGTAAACTTATCAAAGTTATAAAAAATGTTGAAGATCATGAGTCTTTGCAGAATGACATTAACGAATTTGTAAAATGGACGGATATCTGGTTGACAAAGTTAAACATCGAAAAGTGCAAGGTGATGCATTTAGGTAAAAAGAATCCACGAATGAGTTATTGTATGACCCACGACGGCAAAGAGTATAAATTAAAAACAACAGTAAGTGAAAGACTTTACTGACAAAAATGGAAAATTATGGCGTTAAAAATAAAGCTTTAACTTGGTTTAAAAACTACCTCAATGACGGAAACCAGTGTGTTATTATAGATAAAAAAAGCAACTCGAATTTACTGAAAACAAAATGTGGTGTACCCCAAGGGTCCATTCCTGCTCCTCTTTTGTTTCTTATTTACATAAACGATCTCCCAAATGCCTCTAATATTTTCAAAACTATAATTTTTGCCGATGATACAAACTTATTTTACTCATCAAAGACTATTGAAGACTTATTTAAAAAACAAATAATGAATTAAAAAAAATTAATATATGGTTTAAATCAAACAAACTATCACTCAATAAAACTAAATATATTCTATTCCACTCTACTCAACAAATTAAAAAGCTTCCCCTTCACCTACCAACAATTACTATAGAAAATATAACCATCGAAAGAGCTCAAAATACAAAGTTTTTAGGTGTTCTAATTGATGAACACATCTCTTGGAAGCCCCATATCAACTATATAAATACAAAAATATCAAAGAACATAGGTCTACTTTATAAAGCAAAATCTTTCTTGACACAAAAAAGTCTAATACTCTTTTATTTTTCATTTATACATAGCTATCTTATGTATGCCAATATAGCATGGGGCAGTACCCACATAACTAAATTAAAACCGCTTTATCTGCGTCAAAAGCATGCTTCAAGACTAGTGTTCAACAAAAACAAACTTACTCATGCTCAACCCCTACTGGAGCAAATGAACGCTTTAAATATTTTTTAAATTAATATTTATCAAAAAATATTTTTCATGTTTAAATATAAACTAAGTCTGGTTCCAGAACATTTTACAGTCCACTTTTTTGAAAACAACGTAAACAAATACAATACAAGAGCAACGGGAAACTTTAAGATACCCTTTGAAAAAACTAAACTCTCAAAGTTATCAATAAAACATCGTGGTCCCTATTTATTTAACAAAATAATTTCTAGAAACGAATCGCTAATAAATTTAAACAACGAACAGTCCCTAAAAACAAAGTTAAAATCTACAATAATCAAGTTAAACAACTACAAGGAGTTTTTTAAACTCCAATTTAAAATTTAAAAATTAAAAATAATATAAAACAACCCTAATAAAACAAAAAATGTAACTTTTCAAAGGAATCAATAAAAATAATACTAAAAGGAGATAGTAACATTAATAATTTTAAGGCATATATGTATCACATTTATATTTGCCACGTATGCAACTGATTTTTATATGTATTACACGTCTAGAAGGTTCTCGATGACAAGACTGACCCCAGTCTTCTGCGAGCTTCCTATAACTACAAACAATTAACTATTTTCTTCAATCTTATACAAATCTTGTTTTTATTATACTTTAAAATTGTTTTTATTATACTTAAAATCCAAAACCGGCATCATCCTTGACTAGTTCAGGCCCGGTTTTTTCTGTAAGGGGCAATAAATACAGGCTAGAAAGAGAATACGTACCATCATGTTTACCGAGATATAATTTCTTTATGAATCGAGTTTGTAAAAATTGGAATTTGTTACCAAATGAAATTGTTGAAGTAGCATCGTTGAATGTTTTCAAAGCGTGAATAGGTAACCATTTTTCATAACTTGTGTTTTTTAATTTGTGTGGGCTATCTATAACATGATGCTTGCATCGCGTTCCACAATTTACTTTATTTTTAAATATTTTATATTTAAACAAATTTGTAATTGTTACAGCAATAAATATTACTACTATTATTACTACTATTAAATGTCTTTTAAACGTTTTTTATACGTCTTTTAAACGTTCTTTACGAAAGAATATTTAGAAAACGTTTAAAAGACATTTAAAATACATTTAAAACGTAACTTTTAAAAACAAATGCCCTCTGGGGTATAATATGTTATTGGAATAAATTAAAGCAGGCAATCAGTTAGAAAAAATCTAGCACAAAATAATGTGAGTACTCAAAGAAAATCTAACAATAATTTAACCATTTTAATTAAATAAGAATAAAACATGTATAGTTCAAATACGACTCTTAACCATAACAAGAACTCAAGCCATAAAAAAGTTGGCCTCCTCTTTTTTTTTTCAATTTACGGAAAATGATACAAATCAGGCTGTGTAATTTAAGTAGGCCGTGAACTATCATGACCCATTTTAAAGGTTTTGGAAGTTTTTATTAATCATCTTCCCTACTAGTCTTACCACTAAAATGATTATATCTGCTGAAGATAGAACTATCCATTCTTTTTTTTTCCCCTCATTTATTTAGCCGAACAAATATTTACAAGTTCCGTGTTTTATAATACATATAAAAATGGCAATGACGAGAAGAAGACAGGTTTGCCTTATCACCAAGTCACTTGTTATTTCAAGATATTTATATAAATACGTTGAAACTAAAATTAAAAATTAAAAATTAGAGAAAAAAGCAAAATGTTTCAAAAAAGTTTTTACAAAATGCAAAATAGTTTAATAGAGTCTTTCAAAGTTATTTTCAATATTTAAAAAATATTTTTAATTAATAAAAAGTTCTCAATAACATGAAGGTTAACTACGGTAATGCAATGCTATTTATATTCAAATTTCAAAGTTATTCATTGAAAGAAAATTCATTTAAGAAAACAAAAACCAACAGCAACAACAACAACAACAACAACAACAAAAAGAAAACATGAAAAAATGAAAACATAAAAGTTAATTTACAATCAAAAGATATATATAAGCATACACATACACATGTATGTATATACACACTTGCGCACGTATACATATACACACATTCTTGACAAAAAAGTTTTTACTTTTTTTTGAAACTGATCTCTTTTTTTGTGAGGACTAAAGTTTTGCAGTGGCTGGTGACACTTAATCAAACAAAACTCAGTAATCAACTGTTATTAATTATTGCTATTTTGCAGATAATCCTAAACTGAAATACGAAACATTCATTTTTTTTGGATTATCTTTCACTGTTAATCTCTTACCATTTCATATATAAATATGAAATTCATCAATATAAATGCTCAGTGGAATAATATAATGCCTAAAATGTAATGTCTGGCATTTTATAAATCTGCTCCAAGGTTTTTCATTCATAAAAACTGGCAATAACCAAAACAAGCATAAAAACAATTGAATACCCTCTTACCCCTAAAAAGCTTAATTTAGCAGATAAACTACTATAAAAAATCAAGTTTTTTTTGGAAAAAAAAACTTGTTTTTGTATTTTGTAAACCCTAACACATTTTTACACAACTAATAATAAATTTTGATTGAAGTTAACTTTGAACTTAACTACAACTACTGTCAGATAACATGAAAGTCTTTGGCAATAGCTAGCGTTTTTTGTAAAAATGTTATTCCTGATATTCTCAGAACCTTAATGTAATTAAAGTGGCGTGTGGTAGAAATTTTGCTTAGACCTATTACAAAATAAAAAATGAGGGGTAATCCTAATATTAAGATGGGTGGTGGTTTTTTCTCAAATCTAGTAAACAGGGTTTGTATTGATAAAAAGGGGTAGGATTTTCTTTCCAGTAGTAATAAACGAGGGTATTTATTTGAAAAAGGGGCTTCACGTATTCTAATAAACGGAGAGACAAACGAATGCCTGATTAGAGGGAAAGTTTTGATTTTTTATCAGTGAATTTTTCTTCTTTAATTTTTAAGGCCTGTTTTTTTTGTCATAAGATGAAGTTTCATTGTCGATAACAATTAAGGAACCGAAGGGAAGGGGTCTTAATAAGCTCGAGTAAGTGGAAAAATTCTTTAAAATTTAATAAACGTCTCACGCGAATTAAGAACCTGAAAATACCTTTCTACACGACTAAAAATATATTTTACACTTCTTTGCTTTGATTTTTTCCGATATGTTTTACGGTATAAATAGTAAGAGTTTTTATCATCACAGATACAACAAATAATTAACTTAGTTAACAAAAAAAAAAACAACGAAAAACAACCCTTTTTTTTATTAGATCCAAAACCGAAAACACCGTTCTTTTATTTTGTAGTATAAAAATCAAAAATTGCAACTTTTAATACTTCAGATATTTTTATAACATTGACAGGTAACCGTCTGAATATAAAATGTTTTTTTTCCTTTTCACCTTGACTTTAAAGTCAGAAAATATTCAAGCCGATTTTTGGCAGGTGACATTCAGCTTGAATATTTCTAAGTTAAAAAAAAAAAAAAAAAAAAAATTCAGATATATTTTAATATGATGACTGCAATATATAGCTGTGCTAATAGAAAATTATTGTTTAGAAAACAAACAATGATAAATCTTACTATTGCATAACAAAGTCAAAGAAACAAAGTACAAAAAGAACCTTAAATAAATATATTAATTATAACTGCGTATTTTTTGCATGACTCGGGTATTGAAGTTAAAACATAAAAATTAAAAAACTCAGTGGTTTTAAAAATTGTATTTTAAAGATTCATATAAATATTCAAAAAAAGGGTAGAATATAGTGAAAGAACGTTTAAAAACAAATTTTGGAATATTATTTTATTTCATGTTATTGTGTATCATTAAACAGTAAGAATGACGCCGATATTTAACATCTTCAAAAAGTTTAAGCCAAGATTTCAGTTCATAAAATAATAAGACTTGACAACTTTACACAAAAAATAAGACTTAAAACCATTAAATAAAGGTTGACAGAAGTTCTTTTATGTTCAAAAAGTAGACCATTGCGTTCTCAAGATCTTTATCATTACGAGGTAATAACTACCATCAGAAAATCATTAACACATTTGTTTCTTTACAAAACACAAATATTTCTACCCTGTCACAGACGATCAATTTAATAGTCGTCACCTCTACTTAGAACTTCTTTACAAGTTGGTCTAAGTAGAATAGTGTGTTCGTATTGCGCTGTGTAACACCCTTTGACGTCGCAAAGAGGAGGATAAGCGTCAATAATACCTGCATCTTGAAGATTTCGTAAAGCCATTAAATATTTCGTCTAAAAAATTAAACTCAAATTATATATCTATAAACATATGTAAAAAGAAAAACTACTTTCTTCCTCTAATATATATATATATATACATACCTATATACATACATGTATATATATATTAGGTATGTATATATATACATACATACATACATGTACATACATACATGTACATACGTACATGTATATATATATATATATATATATATATATATATATATATATATATATATATATATATATATATATATATATATATATATATATATATATATATATATATATATGTATATATATATATGTATAAATATATATATATATATATATATATATATATATATATATATATATATATATATATATATATATATATATATATATATATATATATATATATATATATATATATATATATATATATATATATATATATATATATATATATATGTATATATATATATAGTATTGGACAAAACATTTGCAACCAACATCGAACAATGTTAAAAAGTGTTCCTAAAAGCCTTAAAAGCGAAACGAACTATACTACCACGGCAAACAGTTCAGGAGTCAGAAGTCATAGCATGCCATGACATGAGCAATCAGCTGACAGTTGACAGCACACACGCAGAATTTCGTTGACAAGTGCCATTTTGCAGCGGACAAAACAAGTTCAACTTTTTTGGTTTGTTTCATTTTCTTAAGTCTGGTCCGTGTCAACGTCAGGGAAGTTTTTTAATAATTAAAGAAAGTATCCAGAAGTGTGCAGAAGCTTCCAGAAGTTTCCAGAAAAAGCATCTGGAAGCATCCAGAAGTATCTAGAAACATTCAATAGCATCCAGAAGCTTCCAGAAGCATCGAAACGAAGCATCTAGAATTGTCCAGAACAGGTTCACACAGGTTCATGTTATTATATAAGAGACATGTAAACCGACATGTAATTTAGTCAGTATATGGAAGTCAATCAGTCAGTATTATCAAGACAGTTTATCGAAGTGAGTTTTATCAAAGTGTTTTATCGAAGTGCATCAATACAAGAAGTGAAATACAACAAGAGTTTCATTACATCAATACAGTCCACATCCAACCAAGATGTTGTGTTCCGCAGAGCATTATTGTATCACAGGTAAATGTAACACAGCAAGCCTTGAGAAGCATGATTATTTATTTTTATTATTTTTATGACTTTAAGTGCAAAAATGGCTCCCGACAGTCTTGGATTGAAACTAAGAAAGAAAATTATTGGCGATTACGTAAGTGGAATGTTACAAAAAAGTATTTGTGATAAATATCGCGTGAAAAAATGGAGCGTATCAAGACTATGTTCCAAATATCATTCTACGGGGAAGTTGGCAGCTGATAACAACGGTGGAAGACCGCATTCCACCACTTCTAGAGAGGATTCTATGATCGTCAGACCCGTCAAGAAGGATACCTGGATATCATCAGACGAGATACAAAAGCAATTAGAGCTGCCTGTATCGGACCGAACAATCAGATGACGTGCTGTTGAAGCCAGATTGTTTTCTCGACGCCCTGCAAAGAAGCCGCTGATTTTACTAAAGAACCATAAGAAAAGACTCCTGTTTGCTAGATCTCATATTGACTGGAATGTGCAGTAATGGCGAACTGTCCTATTCAGTGCCATAAGTTACTGCTATAAGACCGTGAAGCATGGTGGAGGCAATGTAATGGTCTGGGGGTGTTTTTCTGCTTACAGTCTAGGTCCAATACATCGAATCGGTGGAATAATGGACTGTTTTATGTATAAAGATATACTGAAAGATGTTATGTTATGTTACCTCATGTTGAATAGAATATGCCAATAAAATGGGTTTTTCAGCAAGACAATGATCCGAAACACACTGCAAAAGTAGTCAAACAGTGGTTTCAAGACAATCACCTATCGGTGATGGATTGGCTGCCTCAATCTCCGGATCTCAACCCTATCGAGAACCTGTGTGTTTCCATAAGCATTCTTCTCACGGTGTATCAAAACATAGAAGGTTGACGCTACAGCTAGCGCAGGGCATGGAAAATGCATTTGGATTTATTTCTAAGATCCGTGCCTGTACTCCAGAATGGATACCTTTCATAATGGAACCACTGTCATACCATTGTCCCCTGCAATCCAATTTATATTGATTTGCAATCTTGTAAAAAAAAAATCAGTTAGATTTTTTCCTGTTGTTGATTTAATGTCTAAGAATCCAAGGAAATGTTCTTTGATGCTTACGTCTTCAATTTCACTCTTATGATAAGTTTTATTCATATTAATTTTAAAAAAAGGTATGACCTAGGATAACTGCTCCTTCTGACTAAGATCCATTGTGCCGCCTATTTATTTTTTACCTTTTTTTATTTACCTTTTTTTATTACTGTTATTTTACTTAAGTTACTTTTGAATTTTATTTTATATTTTTTCATTTAAATTGTTTTTTTTTTCTTTTTAGATATTTTGTTTTATCTTCTTTTTTCTCTTTTTTAAAAACAAAATAAAAATTTCGCCTGATCTAATTTTCCATTTGCGATGTGATCGCAAGAAAAGCTTCAATAGTTTTTTTTGTTTTTTTTTAATTATTCACCTCCCCAAGGCCCGAGGGGGCCACTACAGTCGAGGAGGCTACTCATTTTTTTTTTTGTTGTTGTTGTTGTTGTAAATCGTGGTACAACCCTTTCTCAACTCTTTAACTCCGAAACCCGAACCTTGACAAGCAAGGCCGCTGCGCGGAGAAATTAAGTTGAGCGCGGTACTTCCAGGGATGTGGTGGGAGTCGAACTCCAAACCTCTTGCTTACAAAGCGAGCGCTCTTACCATTACACCACTACTGCAGTTTTGAACGATGTTCTGCATTATTTTGTTATCACGTAGAAGAAGAATCTTGTTGATATTTTTTTTAATAAATAAATAATTGTGCGGGTAACTAGATATTTTAGGAATATATATTATTATATTATTTTCACTTAATCAAAACTTTTTCTTATTTTTTAAAGGCAGTAACACCTTTTACTTATTTTTTAACCAGAGTAAGGTGTTACAAGGCCTTACTCTCGTTAACAATAAGTAAAAGTTTTGATTGGTTGCTGCCTTCCTAAGCGCGAGGCTTGGAGCGACTGCTCCACTCGCGCCACACTAAAAACTGTTCTAATATATACATACACATATATAAATAATTGTGTGTGCGCGTGTATGTGCGTGTATGCATGTGTATAAATATATCTATATCTCTCTACCTATATATATATATATATATATATATATATATATATATATATATATATATATATATATATATATATATATATATATATATATATATGTGTGTTTATATATAAGATATTTCTTCCTATTATCTAAAGACAAAAGCTTTTTATCAATCTCTTGATTCAACTAATCTGATATAGCCGACAAACAGGTTGATCCATTGCATGACATTCGTATCACTCTAGCTTCTGTATCTAAAGTGATTTCCTGCTTAGACTCTTCTACAGCTTGGGGTCTAGACAAAATACTTGTTATAGCCTTGGAGTATACTTACAAAACTATTTAACAAGGAGCTGCCATCTATACTATCAAAACTATTTAACAAGTGTCTTAACAAAAGTCTGGTTTTTCAGCCTGCAGAAAGTAATATCTGTTATCTCTATTTTTTAAAATTCTGGAGAGAAATCTGACTCGTCTAACTATTGTCTAATTAGTCTTCTTCCTATCATAAGCAAGGTTTTTGAGTCTTTAATTAACAAATACTTAATTACTCATCTTGAATCTAATAACTTATTATTTGATCATCAATATGGATTTTTATCTTCTCATTATACGGCTGATTTGTTAACGGTAATAACTAATAGGATTTATCGTGTATTAGATAGATATGGAGAAGTTAAGGCTATCGCTCTCGACATTTCTAAAGCTTTTGATAATAGTTTGACATGCTTGTCTTTCCATAAGCATTCTTCTCACGGTGTATCAGGTAACTTTGAATCCTTCCTAACCAATCGTAGTATAAAAGTTGTCTTCAATGGGCAGCGCTTTTCTTCATCTTCAGTTACTTCAGTGGTTCCTTAAGGTTCTGCCCCTACACCCATACTTTTTGAATTACATTAACGATCTCCCAAATATTCTCATATCTAAGGTAAGATTGTTCACTGATGACACTACCATTTATTTTCATCTTGATAGGAAGCCTACACTATCTCATTGCTTGGTGGGGGCATTTGAGCTTAAAGAAGATCTAACTTGGTCTCACTTGGTACAAAAAAAAAAAAAAAAAGAAGACTATGCTAATGTAAAAAAAAATTTAAACATCAATTATTCTGAACTTAAGTGGAATGTTTGTGGTGATTTCAAAATGCTCGCTTTCTTGCTTGGCTTGCAAGGGGGATACACAAATTATTTATTTTCCTTTGCTTATGGGACAGCAAGGCTGATGATCATCATTACAAGAAAGTTCATAGGCCCCCACAAGTGAAACTTAAGCCATGATTGTTCAATGTTCCTAAGCAAACTACAGCAGATTCCAACAAGTTTTATAACCCTCCTACCTCCAATATCTAGGATTGATAGAACTAGGATTAGGTTGCTGCCTTCCTAAGCGGGAGGCTTGGAGCGACTGCTCCACTCGCGCCACACTAAAAACTGTTCTAATATATACATACACATATATAAATAATTGTGTGTGCGCGTGTATGTGCGTGTATGCATGTGTATAAATATATCTATATCTCTCTACCTATATATATATATATATATATATATATATATATATATATATATATATATATATATATATATATATATATATATATATATATATATATATATATATATATATATATGTGTGTGTTTATATATAAGATATTTCTTCCTATCATCTAAAGACAAAAGCTTTTTATCAATCTCTTGATTCAACTAATCTGATATAGCCGACAAACAGGTTGATCCATTGCATGACATTCGTATCACTCTAGCTTCTGTATCTAAAGTGATTTCCTGCTTAGACTCTTCTACAGCTTGGGGTCTAGACAAAATACTTGTTATAGCCTTGGAGTATACTTACAAAACTATTTAACAAGGAGCTGCCATCTATACTATCAAAACTATTTAACAAGTGTCTTAACAAAAGTCTGGTTTTTCAGCCTGCAGAAAGTAATATCTGTTATCTCTATTTTTTAAAATTCTGGAGAGAAATCTGACTCGTCTAACTATTGTCTAATTAGTCTTCTTCCTATCATAAGCAAGGTTTTTGAGTCTTTAATTAACAATTACTTAATTACTCATCTTGAATCTAATAACTTATTATTTGATCATCAATATGGATTTTTATCTTCTCATTATACGGCTGATTTGTTAACGGTAATAACTAATAGGATTTATCGTGTATTAGATAGATATGGAGAAGTTAAGGCTATCGCTCTCGACATTTCTAAAGCTTTTGATAATAGTTTGACATGCTTGTCTTTCCATAAGCATTCTTCTCACGGTGTATCAGGTAACATCTTTGAATCCTTCCTAACCAATCGTAGTATAAAAGTTGTCTTCAATGGGCAGCGCTTTTCTTCATCTTCAGTTACTTCAGTGGTTCCTTAAGGTTCTGCCCCTACACCCATACTTTTTGAATTACATTAACGATCTCCCAAATATTCTCATATCTAAGGTAAGATTGTTCACTGATGACACTACCATTTATTTTCATCTTGATAGGAAGCCTACACTATCTCATTGCTTGGTGGGGGCATTTGAGCTTAAAGAAGATCTAACTTGGTCTCACTTGGTACAAAAAAAAAAAAAAAAAAGAAGACTATGCTAATGTAAAAAAAAATTTAAACATCAATTATTCTGAACTTAAGTGGAATGTTTGTGGTGATTTCAAAATGCTCGCTTTCTTGCTTGGCTTGCAAGGGGGATACACAAATTATTTATTTTCCTTTGCTTATGGGACAGCAAGGCTGATGATCATCATTACAAGAAAGTTCATCAGCCCCCACAAGTGAAACTTAAGCCATGATTGTTCAATGTTCCTAAGCAAACTACAGCAGATTCCAACAAGTTTTATAACCCTCCTACCTCCAATATCTAGGATTGATAGAACTAGGATTGATAAAACAGTTTGTAAAAATTTTAGATTTCGGAAGAGAAGCTTTAAAACAAATTTATCTCATGTTTTTAAAGCTATCTGAACCAAAGATTAAAGGTGGTATATTCGTTGGTCCCAAAATAAAAGCAATATTAAATCTAGGGAAAATGAAAAGAGCAATCAAGAAAGTTGAAAATGAAGCTTGTTGTAGACTTAGTGATTTAGTTTCTAGTTCATTGTAGTTATAGGAAAGTTTGACATCTAGGAAATCAGAAAGACCTTAATTAAGAACAACTGGTTGCAAAGATTATTTAAAAATTCAAGAAACTGTTGTTGTGTTGTGTTAATGGGTTGTCATGTGTTCATAGAGACTCATATGTTGCAATCACATCTAAATTTCTTCCCCCAAAACACGAATGATCTCAGAGAGAAGTATAGTGAGAGATTTCATCAAGATATTGCAAAAATGTTAAGTAGATATCAAGTAAGATAGAATATTGCTATGATGAAAGATTATATATATGGTCTCTATTCATAAAAGATGAAAATCTGCTCTCAAAAAATCACAATTATTAAAGTACTTCTAATCCTGAGGGAAGAGTTTATCATTTTTATAATAAAAAAACATTGCCAAAAAACTTGCAACCCTCGGAATTAGAAAAATTGAGGTCGGTAATAATTTGCCAATCTCAATCTTTTAGAAGTCGGCATCAAGTCGGCAAAAAAAATTTAATACAAAGGTCTTACCACAAAACATCAAAACGAGGTAGGCAATTTTTTGCCAATTGCAAACACATTCATCAGCAGTTAGTTCAGCATTACCGAATGCCGACCCTAATTCTGAGGGTTGAACTTGTAAAAATGTACTTTTTTAATTTTTAGTTAAAAACCAATGTTTTTAAGCAATAAATTTTAAAATAAAAATTATATATGTAACAATTGATATTCTTAAACTTTTTGTTTAATTTTGCTTCTTTTAAGTACCAGGTTGACCTACTTTTGAAAGACTTTTTCCCCCTAAGTATTAGGGACCCATTAAATAATAAAGGAGCTAGCTGTATGCCAAAAATAAACTTTTAATAAACTGTTTTTTAAACTTAGGGTTATTCCAGTACACAGATTTTAAAAGTGTTGTTTTTAAGTTCGCCCTTATAAACATAAATAAAATATAAAAATATATATAAAATACCTGTCCAAGCCTATCTAACCATCTTCTGCAAAATGCAAGCGTTCCAAAGTTTTCATTAATTACATTAAGAAGTTGTTTTGCTCGTGCTAATCTATCAAATAATAAAAACTTTTAATCAAAATATCTTCTTTTTTTTTATTATTAAAAAAATAACCATTATTGCATCATTTGTTTACTTACCGTAAAGGTATATGACCAACTTCAAAATTTTTCATATAATGCGAGCATTCCATGTCATCATGGACAACACCTTTCCCTGTACTACCAAATGTTTCGATAGCATAAAACTCATCTTCCTCCATAACCGTGGCTTCACCTCCCTTAACAATAGGGACAGTTTTACCAGCATGTATTCGATATGGGGCAACAGAGTGTCCATTTAGGTTGCGGATTGCTTTTACTTTGAATCAAAAAAATGTAACAATATATATTCAATAAAGTTAAGTATATTAATAACATATAGCAATAAAATAAACTAACAAAAGAAGACTTAAAAAACAGGTCATTAAAGCTAGGTATGCCAAATATGTTAACTCTGTATGTTAGACTTTTCATGTAACAACTTTTCTTTTTCAACAAAAAAATGAACAACATATCTATAGAATAAATCAAATAATCTGCAATAAATTCTTAAAAAAAAAATCAATCAAAGTGAAATTCTATGTGAAGATAATGGATGTTTAGAGGTAATTCTTAAAAAAAAATTCAATTCAAAGGGAAATTCTATGTGAGGATAATGGGTGTTTAGAGGTAAGTCTCCCTTTTAATTTTTAAATAAGTTTAGGAAATGGTATGCCAATTAACATTTCGATTATACATGAAAAAATGCTCTCCTACTGTCCCATGCAAGGAAAAACTTGTGATCTTTTTTTGTTTTGTTTAATAATTAAATTTAGCGTTGCATTAAAAATGGACGATCCCTTTGTTTATGCATTTTGTACAGAATTAATTATATTTTCATATCCATTCTCTTACTAAATTATATATAAAATTCTTCACTTGATTTCTTAATTTGAATATGCAGTACATTTGACAAGTCTTCCCGGAAAAAGCATGAGGCATGAGTTCCCTTGGCTTGTTCATTTAGGTTTAAAGTAATTTTTTTAGACTGACCATGCTAGTTTGCATCTTTCAACTTATAAAACATTTCAATAATTCTCGGCAAAAAGCTAATTTTATCTACTATGAAAAAAAAAAAACAATCTTAAAAAAAGGAAACAAAATGAAAACAAAATGGAAATGAAATATCAAATTTAATTTAACAAACTAGAAAATTTATAAAATATTTATAAAAAATTTGTATTCTTTTTTTAGAGTCACTGTTGAAAAAAAATATTATCTTTTATAACAATTTAACAACAATTGAAAGTTTTGATATGCCATTTATTCACGATTTTTATCGGTCCATATAATTAAGAAGCTAATTTACTATCTACGGTTGAACAATGAGAAATTCTATTAATTTTTTTTCTTAAATTTAATTATTTTGTACATCTTTTCGCTTTTAAAAATGTTTTTGAATTTTTTCTCTCGATACTTATAGAATAAGAAAATATGAAAACAAATTGTTAATTTGTAAAATATATTATTTGAATTGTAAATTTTATAAAGACAAAATAATTTAAATGAAAGAATAACATGGTTTCTTTTATATATGTATTTACCGCATTTGATTAATGTCTGAAATTGTTTCTTTTATATTGCCCAATTTCCAACATTAATGCAAATTACTAAAGATAATGAACATAACCATTGCTCTGTTCGAAAAAAATGTATTCAAAACTTGAAAAAATTTTAAATAGGCTCCTGAAAATTTTGTTAAAAAGTTTAGTTATATAATAAAATTTTAGTTAACTAACAAGCTTTTGGAGCATTGCCAATAACAATAGTTCATCAGGAAATAAACTATCAGATTTAAATGCACAATTTGGATAATCCTACATAAGTGCAGACTTGGCATATTGAAAACAACCAAATATTTTATATTTAAATATTAGTATTAATGATTTTTATTTTTTTACATGAAAAGTTTGTTTAAAAAAAAAGTTTTTTTAAATAAATAGCAATTAGATTTCTTGTTTTCCTGTGCATCAAGACAGTAAAGTTTAGCAAAAACATTTCAAAAACAAACTTTAAAAATTGTCCATGTTTGTAGCGCAAATTATAAAGTACTTCCTTAATATAGTGACTGAAAATTGTCGCAAAAAAATTGTATGTCAGAAAAAAATTTTATTTTTGTTATATTCTTATTTACTTTTTTTCTTGACTAGTATCAAACTTGGTAGTGGAAAACAACTAACGCCCTAAAAATAAAAAAAACAAAAACAGTTAAATATTTAGGTTATTGTATTTTTGACAATAATTTACACTTTTTAATATTCAAGTTTTTTAGGCTTATTTTATTTAGATTTTTTATTTCATATAGTCTTTAGTTCTTTTCTTTGAGTACTACTGTTTCTCTCTAGTTTCTCATAACTTTATTTTGCTTCAAACTCTAAAAACGCTTACTATATAAAAAGGAGGTCACGTTGTCTAAAATAATTACATTAGGCATGGATGAACAAGACATGCAACCACACGCACATCGATGGAAAACTTGTTTAATAAAAATCACAGCTCTTTTTGTTTGATTTTTGTTTAATTTTTTGTTTGATGATGAAAAGAAGAAATTGATAGAAAAATTTTAAAATAGATTGAGCCTCATTTCTATTCTATACTATTTTATATTGTCTACTTTTTAAAGTTATAATAATTCTATAACATTAACAAACTTTAAATGGCTTGGGTATTAGTACATACCCCTTGCACATACCTGCGTTTTGTTTTGAAAAATTTTTTTAAACTAATATAGTTCTAAAAAATTTTTAGGATAGTTAAACCAACGCAATTATGCTCTATACAAACATTTCAATTTCAAAGTATTTTATTTTTCAAACTCATTTTTTTTGAAAAAACAAAGAGTGTTCTATATGAAAATAACAAATTTATTAAAAAATGAGATTATTTTTACTCATAGCTCTTTATTTTGTAAACTTTAGCTTATTGTACTTATTTTGTATAAAAATTTTACAGATAGTATTATGGAATAATAAAAAATTAAAAGCTACAAAAGAAAAAAAAAAAATTCTATTTAAAACTCAACTTTTTTTACATACATTTTTTTGTTTTTTTGAAAAAATAAATGTGGTTTTAAATATTTTTTCATAAATTGCTACCTCCTATGCAATATAGTTGGGCTTATTTAAGATACCTGCTTGAAAAGTATTGAATAAACACAATTATTAGAAAATGTTATAAAATGGTTTGCTTTCAATATGACATATAGCTTCAGTAGCTCAGTGGTTAAGTGCACTGTCCTCAATGCTATCATTCTAATGTTTTCATAGGTTCAAATCTGCTGTTTATAAGAAATTTTTGGTTTTTTCAATCTTGCTACTTTTTTAAATATAAAACAAAACAGTTCAAGCAAAAAAGACAAGTTTTTTATAAGTTAAAAATTCTAAAGAGTTTTTTTTTATCATACTTAGATTATACATGATTGTTACATGTACAATGTGCAAACTTAACCACTGTCAGACATTTACAATTACAGATGTAAGTGTAAATGTCAGTAGGTTATTCTCCTTATTATTATTTTTTCCATCTTTAATGAATGCCATCATTTTAGATGCTATGGGATTACCAGCCTTTAATACATGGTTCACAAAAAAGACCAGGGGAAAGTAACTTGAGTCAGGTAGCAAACATAAAATTAACAATAAGATTAAAAAAATGTTTCTCGAAAAACTTTTTGTAATGACTTATATATAAACAAATTTTACACATTTTTTAAAACATTTAAAACAACAAAAATGTTTTTAACATTTTAGTTTTTTTAATAAATTTTTAAAAACCTGGAAATTGATTGTTTACTTTCATTTCACAAGAAAGATTCGAAATTATTAAAACTTTTCAAAAAAGTAGTTACAATTTTAACACCAAAATCAAATAAATGCAATGAGTTCTATTCAAATTCAAGTTTTTACAAAAATTGCTGAAGATAGTTTAGACCTTGTCTAATTTTCTGATTTCCTAAAAAAATAACTAAAACTGATTCTTTGCTATCATGTTAAAGACTCGATTATTAAAATGTAATATAGAATGTAATATATGTAATATAGAAATGTAATACAGAATTCCTGGTTTACAAAACAGCTATCAGGCCTTTTGATTGCGCTATTGAACAAAAAAGCTGGAAAAAAACAACAACAACAAAAAAACGGTAACAACAATAAAAAAAAATACATATATTTTTTGTTTACCAAATAACAAAGATAAAAATTTATGTTGGATAACTACAATTTCAAGAGATAATACCCATTATTTAAAATATACTGATAGATTCCAAACATTGGCCTAAAAATGTTAACTTAATAATGATTAATTGTAAGAAACAAACAAATGGACCTGTAAATATATTTCATAATATTTATAACAGCCGAGTTCTAACAGTACCAGGAATTTCAAATATAACAATATGCTTATTAACAAAAAATATTCAAGGGGTACTTAGAAATTTAAAGAAGTTGATAACTTAGAATTATATCGTATAAAAAGTTAAATCTGAAAAGCCACTAATATCCTTTTACATATATAATGATGACCAAGTCTAACAATCAAAAAAATTGTATTTAACCAACTGGACTATAAAGGTGAAGAACTGGAGTATCAAGAACTTTTTTTAATTGACAAAGCTTTTGGCTTTCATGTTAATATTTCTGATGCAGACTTTTTCAAATCATAAAGTAGAATAAAATAGTCTATAATAAAATAAAAGTCTTTAATTTATAAAAATCTAATATTACTGTGATGAAAAAATGTTGCTATATTATAAATGTAATATTCTTTCAGATTTCATCTTCAAATAAAAAGTGATTTAACACATAGAGCATTTAATATGGCTTAATGTTTTATTTTGACACTTTCACATAACCAAATAAGAGTTTTAGAAAAATTTCAATTTGCTAAAAGAGCAGTTGGTTGCTGATTAAAAGATCTAGAGAAACTGAGATTATTATAATGAAACTTCTAGTCACATTATTATAAATGAATTATCTTATCTCTAAAGCTCCTAGAAAGACAACCAATGTTTTTTGTGAAGAAACCTTACAGCTATGAAAACAAACCCAGCTATAAATAAGAAACAAGTATTGCAAAGGTGTTGCTGCTTTTCTGCAGTTGAATTGATGCAGAGAAAATTAAAAAAATGTAAAAAGAATGTTTGATGATATAAGATTGTTTGATCCTTTGTGAGCTGTCATTTAAAGTACTAAAGATATTCACTGGCAACATTTATTGAAAATAAGCAGAAATGAACAAAAATATTGGTGCAAAAACTGGAAAAATAGAATAATAACTTTTATATTAACAACAGCAGATGCAATATTACAGACATCAAATGGTTTAATAGACTAAATTCTTATCTAATATACTTATGAATAACTATACAACATTGTCTACTTCCCATTCTAAGAAAGAACCTATAGAAAAATTACTAAAGCTTTAATTTGAATAGATAAATAATTTTTTTTATAATTTAGCAGTAAATAAGATGAAATATTAATTTTGTGAATTTTTCACCACAAAAAAAAAGTATTTTTAGTTTCTGTTTGTGCAATTGCAGGGCCTGTTGTAAAGACAACTGTAATAATGGCTGGTTAACAATCTAGAGTGTTTTTACTTTTACAGGTTTACAACAAGAATAAAAAAAAATTTCGGGAGTGAAAATCACTATAATTCTGAATCATAATTCACTATAATTCTGGAATAATTGAATCACTATAATTCTGGAATATATTTTCTCTGATTTTCGTAATGAAATTTTCAGCTAGAATCACTTTATTGAGAATTCTAATACTAATGAAGAACATTTACCTTCTGCAATTCGTGCTAGTTACAGATAAATCTGAAAAATAGAATAGTGAAAAAAGAAGTAAAAAAATGACACTTGATTTTTAAAAAGTTTTTTCTGATAAGATCAAATACTTGCTATTACCATGAAGTTGTTTCAATAGAATTAAAAGAAGCAGAGGATCAGCTTAGCTGGTTTTCAATTAGACCCCACTTTATCTTTCCATATCCATTCAATAAAAAACAGTTTTTACTCTTAGTCTCAGTCCATTAATAAAAAATTTCTTTGTTAAAAAACATTGCATATTTAAACTATTGATTCTCTCATGACAAAAAAACCTTTCATTTCAAAACTACTTTAACATATAAACTATTTAACTTTTGTGATTCAAAATATTGTTGTAAATGTTTTGAATTTAAATTAATTTTTTGTTTAAATAGCATAATTATTGACTTGGCTTTTAACTTTCAATGCACTTGAATAAATTATCAAGTCTTTATAATGCGCCTGGAAAATCGCACTTATTTTACAGACTCCAAATACTACAGAAAATGGAGAAGACAAGCTTCGACTAAAACAACAAGATTTATTTTTCTTGGTATACATTTATTAATTAGTTTTAATTTTAAAAAATTTGCTCATATTTTTTATAAACACTTTCTTTAATACGAACACAACATGTCTTGGGACTTGGTAGTCCCTTTAACTGAATAATATTGAATAAACTATATTTAGCTTGATCGTGTTCAAAAAATCAAAAAAAAAATTATTTATACTTATGAACACCGATTTGTATTAAATACTTATATTTAAAAGGGCAATTTCGCTTTTTATGGGACGATTTTGCCAATGTAAAAAGAGTTAAAGCTTTATTATATTTTGTCAAAAGCACATTCTGTGCACATGTCGATGCAAAAGCACATTCTGTGCACATGTCGATGCAAAAGCACATTCTGTGCACATGTCGATGCAAAAGCAGACTTTTCATGACCATATAAACAATGCATTGCAGCCAGTCTTCTGTTGAATCCACCCATACCACACCACGCACACAGCAATGAGTTATTTTTTGCTGTTTCTGTTATAAGCTTTTGATTTAATAATGATTTTAAACTACGTGATTTTTTTCTTTTTTGAGCCATATGCTTTTATTTTAATAGGCAAAAAGTTCCTTTTCTTTCTTGAGCCATGTGCTTTTTTTGTTTCATGGAAAACTTCTTCTTTTTCTTTAAATTACTAGGATTGGAAAACACATCCAGAGATTTTTTTTATTTATGTGAGTAATTTAAGTGAGATTTATGCTATGTAGTGGACAAATCTTTTTGAAGTAATCGACAGCAATGTATTTTTTTTTTAGCATTTAAATAAGCATTATACCTCAAAGACTTTGTTGTCAATGGAAACCCACAATCTGCCAAGTAAAAAAGCCTGTTTACTAGTGCTTGTTCCTGTTGCTTTGTAAACACTGTTTTTTCGTCCAACAGAGCTTGTTTGTCGACATCCATTTATCTTATCTTTCAGCATTTATCTTGATACTCCAAATGTTTTTGCTGCCATTAATATTTTACCTCCATCTTTAACAGCTTGAATAGCCCATTAGAGAGTGGTATCACTAGAGGATTTCTTTTTCTTTGGGATATCGATGTAAATACCGATGCTTGGTAGTGGCTATAAACAATCAGCGATAATGAGCATTTAATGATAAGAAATGAGAATGTAAGAAATGCATTCAATTGAAAAAAATGACATTTTCAAATACAAAATTTTAGGAGAATTTTAGAAAACTATTTTCAAGTTAAATTATAAAGTACTTTAGTTTTAAGTGTATATATAAAAACTATTGATTTATTATATCTTCAAAATACTTCTAATACATTTATCATGCAATATTTCCTGATATATTTCCAATGATTTTATAAAATTGTTTATATAGTAATAAATATTAATATTAAATATTGCTTAGAAAACAAAAATATTGTACATATATATTTTTTTAAACAGTGGGACTATTTTATCATTCTGTGGCGAAACCACCCCACAATATTCTACTTAGACAAAATCATATTTAAAATATATACCACAAACGCCAGTTAAATAATTTTAACAAATTTATGAAGCTCTCACCTTAGCAGTTATTTTTAAAAGTAGTTTCAATTAACTTTATAAAATTAATATGAGTAAAACGATAATATCAATTAATAACATTAAGTAGCAAATCTCATTTAAAATTTACAACAAACAGCCAAATTAGGTGGCGAGTATGATCAATTAACAGTTATAAGGTTATAATTTTAAAATAATAAATATTTTACATCATCTTAATATGGTGTTATGGCAGAATAATATCTTTTACTTGAATTATTTAAAGTGGCAAAATCACCCTCGAATATACCCAGTCTACCCTATAGCTAATCACAAATTAAAAACTAACTACCTTGATATGTTTTTCCATCAAGTTCAACTTCATAAGACTCCATTACTTCTTGAATGGCTTCTCCTATATCGCATAATCTTACATCTATTCCTGCTTCCTAAAAATAATAACAATTTAATAAAAATATTATATAAATAAAATTGTTATTTTTAGCTCTTCTGTTACCTTAATCCCAGTATTTGTGGCTTCTTTGACTGCTTTTAGTAAATTATCATATCTTGGATTAAATGCAACTGTAAATGCACAATCAATAATTCTACCTAAATTAAAAAAATGGTTGTTACTGAAAACCATAATCTATAAAGACATCATTCACAGAGACCAAAAATTTGAAAAGATAATGCCACTATACCATTTATATGTGTCCCGAAATCAATTTTGCATACATCATCATACTGAAGAACAGTTTCATCACCAGCATTGGGAGTATAATGTGCAGCGCAATAATTTAATGAACAACCAGTTGGAAAAGCAAGTCCTAAACGCAAATAACTCATAAATCTCTAAATAATGTAAAAAATACAAATAACACTAATTTTCAAACTAATGATAAAATGAAATAAAGAATTTCATTTAAAACCTGCTTCAAGTCCTTTTTCATTTATCAATTTGCGACTAGTGGATTCCAAAGTTTCACTATGTTGTAAACAAAGTAAAATATAACAACAAATATACAATCACTTTCACATTAAAAACACAATTTTAATAAAAGACATTAAAATTTTTGAAACAAAAAAATTAATTCAATATTTGACATATATCATTTAAAATCATATACAAACTGTTGTTTCAAAAGTTAGTTTATATTAAATCAATAGTAACAGTAGCTAGAATAATTTGAAGCAGTAGTTACAGTAATTTGAACTAAATAAAAAATAATGCTTTGCAATAAATATTCTTCTGATAATATTAATACGCTAATTTAATAGTAGTAGTTAATAGTTGACTTACGTCATTTTCTAGGCTTTTCTATTTTAAAGTAGTTTCTAGGCTTTTCTATACGTGCTTTTTTTTTTTTTAATTTTATTTACTAACAACCCGTATTAGGGGTTGCTTACTGCTAGTTAAGAATGTTTTTTGTGAAAGAATAAACAATACACTTATTATTGCACTTAAACATGTCAAGTGTTATACTAACGAACAGCATTTTCAAGAAGCATAACTTTTTACATTTGCACATGCCTAATGTTTTTGTTAACTTTAAGAAACTTATGGTAAACATACATATTTTTTCATGTTTTTATGTTGAAAAGCATTTTTCCTCACTTTTCTTTTTTTTCCTTTTAAATAAATATGTTAAAATTTTTTAATCTCTTAACTTTTTTCTTAATCAGAGCATGAAAAAAATTAAAACTTTTACAAGTTGTTTATTAAACAGTTTTTTTTTCTTGCAACTTGTTGAAAAAAATACATACTAATAAAATTTAAAAATATTAGATATAATACTCTTTGATAATTTGAATATTTTTTTAATTAAATAATCATTAGAACTAATTTGTTATTTTATGTAAAAGGGTTTCGCAAAACTTTAAACAAAATGTTTAAAATGATAAAAAGTTTATAAAGTTTATTTCAAATGCAATAAAAAATGTAAAATTAAACAATTTTAAATTTTAGTTTGAGTTTTATTTTATTTTTCACATATATTCTTTTTTGAATACGTTTTTATCACAAAACACATCAGAAGAGCATTTGAAAGGAACTTCATGCCTCCTTCCATAGCAATGTTATAAAACTTGCTCAGAGGTGGCGTTAAAACCACAGATTAAAAAATATAAATAAAAAAAATAAAAAATTGTAACTGCCCAAATATTCAAATTTTAAAAAATACATTATGGTTACTATGGTTACTATTATATGGACCAAAACATCAAAAATCGAATTCATATTAAGAGGTAGGGGTTATTTTTTGAAATTTAAAGTTAAAGTTAAAGGGTTTTTAGTAGATTTGTTCTTAATTTGTTAAGTTAAAGGGTTTTTAGTAGATAGAAAAAACAGTTTTTTACTAAATAGTGATGTTCTTATGATTATGTTTTCTTAAAAAAAAAAAAAAAAACTATAAACTCACCAAATATCAATCATTTTCATACCAGGTTTGATGAAACTTTGCACATATTTTCTAACCTAGACAAGTTCATAAAAATATATTAACATTTTTTATTTATTTATAACTATTTTAAATCTTTTATAAAAAAATTTTATTGAATTTTCTATTTTTATAAATTGTAATGTGCAAATATAAACATATTTATAAAAATGTTAAATCATACAGGAGATCCTATGTTTAACTCTGTGTGACCACAGGATGTCTAACTCTGTGTGAACACAATTATAATTTTTACTTTTATAACTCATTATTTAAAAAAAGATTTTAAAAACATGCTAAATACTAATTTAACATCTTGTAAAGTATATACCTCTTATATATACCTCAGCTAGCTTTTTTATTTGAGTTTAAAAATTTACATGATTTAGATAAAAATCATTTGACTATAATTAAAGAAAAAAAAAACCTGTCGATGAGCTTCAGCTGCCAAACGAGCTTCTTTGTAAATGTTTTCATTCATTCTGTCAATAGCTCTTTTCTCTTCACTTGTTACTCGCCAAAGATTACTAAAATTTAAAAACAATAAAATTACATGAATCAAGCCAACCTAACCTAATTTAACTTGATTGTCATATTCTGTTAAGCAAACATACCCTTACTAATAATAATAATAATAATAATAATAATAATAATAATAATAATAATAATAATAATAATAATAATAATAATAATATATACTTGTATAGTACAATATTGGAAATAGAAGAAACTGTGCAATAATGGAAATTCAACTACATAAAAATAATTAAAAAAAAAAAAAACCAACACTAAAATAGTAATTTAAGAACTTTGAGCCTTTTTAAGGTCAAGTTTACATCTTTAAGATTAAGAATACCCCTTTGAAGGTCAAGTTTTTAAGGACAAGTAAACACCTTAACACATAAACCATTATAAAAGTTTTTTCTTTCCAAATTTTAAGACTATAAAATTTTAAACTTAGAGGAACGATATGCTCTTGATGTGCTCTTTAAACTTAGAGGAACGATGTGCTCTTTTCTTTAAACTAATGGTGGTGTATATAGATATGGTGGCGCTCTTTCCTTAAAACTAATGGTGGTGTATAGAGATATGGTGGCGCTCTTTCCTTTTAACTAATGGTGGTGTATAGAGATATGGTGGCGCTCTTTCCTTTTAACTAATGGTGGTGTATAGAGATATGATGGCGCTCTTTCCTTTTAACTAATGGTGGTGTATAGAGATATGGTGGTTTATAAAAAAAATAAAGATGGTATTATATTTAGTTTATAACTTATATTTAGTTTAAATATAAATCTTATTCTATAAATCTTAAATAAAAATAAATCACATACACAAGATACAACAATAAGATTAAAAAATAATAATAATAACATATTTAGAATAAAATATAAAAAAAAAAAGATATTAATAAAATCCTGTTACAGTTTTACATCTGTCACAGAATTACAAAAATGTTTTTTAAAATGCTCTCTAAACTATCAAGTGCTTAACTGATTTCACCTGTCTGCTGGAAAATGGCAGCTGTGATTCCAATATTAGAACTATGTAGATCGCTTCAACACTTTGCCTAATTAGTCATTTTACTATTAAATTTTAACCAGTTTTCTAACTATTATTAGTTTAAAATCTTTAATTTTTAAAGTTTAAAATCTTTAATCTTTAAAGTCTTGCTGTCTGAAAATGCGAATTTCAACTCTTTTATTCTTCTGCTGACTTGTTAACCAATATAACTGAAAAGTTCCACCCTGCTATAGATAAAAGCGATGAGGCAAGGGCTATTGCTCTTAACATATCAAAGGTTTTTGATAAAGATTGGCATGTCTTCTCTACCAGTTCACTGCATAATGATCTTTCTAATAATCTTACCTCTAAAGTATTTGCTGATAACAATTTGCTGATAAAACAATTGTATACTCGCTGCATGTAACTACATATTTGCAGTTTTCTGTTATGAAAATTTAACAATTAAAGTTTTAGAAATCTCCAAACAAATATAAACAATTTAACTTTTTTTATGGTTTAATTTTCATGTTAAAATCAATTAACTTTTAATTAATGTAACAACTTTATTATTAACTATAGAACTAAATTAAAATAACTTAAATAATTAATTCATACTTTTGTCAAAAGTTTTAGTTATTAAAATTTCAAATAGAAATCTTACTAAATCTCAGCTAATAATTTTAATTTAAAAACAACACATACTCATCTTTATAGTTTTGTATTTCTCCAATTGGGTAATCTTCACATGGGAACAACTGTGTTATAGGTATACTTGGTGGATTAGTTTGAACACTTTTCTTTTCAGATGGTGTGGTATTAGCTAAAATACATATATGTAAAAAATATACATGTATATAAAAATAATGCAAAGTAAATATAAAAAAAATATATATATATATAAAATTGAAATTATACAAAATTTAAAAAATGTAAGCTTATAATAAATAATATTTATTAACACTTCATAAAGAAAAGATAAATAACACTGGACAACAACAACAAAAAAATCCCTCCATAGTTTTTTTCACTTATATAAACAAAGCTTGTTGAACAGATTTCAAATCCAGAAACTTTTATTATTCCATCATGTGCAGTTTTCTCTCATAAAATTGCTTCTTAATATATATTTAATGCTTTTTTATTTCAGATTGAAGTGGTTCAAACCAACTTATCATGTGTCCCATTGTTTTTTTGCAACAGGATTCACTAGACCAATCTTAACCACCATATAAGATACCTTCAACTATCCTAAGAAAATCTAAAGGTTTTGGGTTCCCACCTTCTGCAGTGGAATCTTCTGCTGCCTGAAACCAATGTGAGTCATTTCAGAACTAGAAATGTAACACTGTTCACATTTTATGTCAAGGAAGATAATATATGTTTTCAAACAGATATTTATGGCCTGTTTCATGAGGTTGGCTTTAAGCATTTAATAGTTAATAGGAGACTTTTTAAAGATTCTAGGAAGAGATCCTTTATAGTTGTTTTACTACATTTAGGCAAAATGAACTACAATTGCCTAAATGTAGTAACAGAAATAAAAGGAATTAAAGGTACTTATGAATTCATGAATTTAACAGGAATTAAACATGTATGAATCCATGGAAGCAATACTCAAAGTAATAAATTACAACAAATATGCCTGAAATATTTGTAGAGATCTTGAGATAGTTGCACTATTTCTGGGAATGCAGATAGGTTACACAAGGCGCATGTGTTTTTTTATGCCTCTCGGATAGTCATAATAATAAGGTTCACTATGAAGTAAAGGAACAGCCTGCTTTCACATTTTCACATTCAACCTTTTCATATAGGATTAATGTAGATTTTTGTAAAAGATTTGTCTAAGGCTTTTTAATTTCTTGAGGAGAGGTTGGAGCAGTTTAGACACAAATTTAAGCTGGTGTTTTTACTGGCCTATAAACATGCAAAGTAGTGCACTCTTAAGGGCACGTTGCAGGCATGAAACACTTTTGTTTTTGTCATTGAAAATTTTTTTGGAAACCATTAACCTTATCCATATATTGATTTCATGATTGAAGCCTTAGGAATCCGTTGTAAAATGTCACTTAAAATGAATTTTCTGCACCCACATCATGAATTTCACACTTTCTTGTGATTTTAATGTACATGCTACATTGAACTAATGATTAAACAGTACTCGATTGGTGTTATTTTTAACTTTATAAAAATCCTTTTTTTTCCTCTAACTTGATAAGATTATTCTGATTTTAGTTATGGAATCAGCAGGTCAACATTAATAAAAAGCACATGGGTTTATGTTAGGTGGTTTATACTTGTTGACCAGTGTAATACAAATATTTTAATTAGCTTTTAATTAGTCTCATTTTAAACATAAAAAACTTAAAGTGCAACAGTTAAGATTAGTAGAGTCTATGGTCTGTCTATGGTCAATCATCTGGGTAACTAGGTAAGGGTTAACAAGAATGCTTTTTCCATAAAACAGATTATTATTTTACTTTAAATGGTTGGCACTCTGAAGAACAATATGTAACTTGTACAATCACTTTCATGGCTAAAATCATTATTGTTTAAATATTGTCTAAAATATGAAGTGCAATATTTCTATAGCATTTTAGTAACATCTAGTTGCAAAATATCTACATTTATATAAATCATCAACTGTACAGTTAATTTAGCATGAACTATAAGAATAATATAATCCAGTAATAATATAGCCAACAATTATCCCACTTTCTAAATCTTTCAAAAATGGGGTTAGTGGTTCAGGGGTATCAGGACTAAAATTGGATCCAGACCTCAACATAACCAAGTTTTTTCATATGACTAATAATGTTTGTAATAATGGAATAATGTAAAAATTCATATGACTAATAATGTTTTTTTAATGTAATACATAAAAAGCTTTGATAAAATATTCCTTGTAAGTTTAATTTACTCCACATAATGTATATTATTTGAGTAGAAACTAGTAAATATTAATTTTGTTTACAATTTTGTTCTTGCCTAAACTTTTTCAAATATAGTTTTTTTCAAGAAAAGTTAAGTATGGTGAAACCACACAACAAAAAAACACAGAGAGAAAAGTTAGCATAGAAGATGTTAGGAATGGTAATAGTAAAACTAAAAAACCAGTTATATTCTACAACACTTCTACATCTACATTTACGCATTTTATTTATACAACAACCCCAAATTTTAAGAAATGGTAAGGGTGGTAGTAGAGTTAAATTTTACTTGCCTAAGACAAAAGAAAAGATAGTGAACTGTTTGGAAGTAATAGACTAAAATGAAGTGGGCTTAACCTGACACAAGTCAGCTTAAGCCCACTTCAAGTTCAAAGATCCTGTCCACCTTTATATTAGACAAAATAATATAGATTTAAATAAATTTAAAGACCAGCAAATATTATAGATTCAAAGCTGTCATATAAATTTAAAGTTCCTACAAAGATTCAAAGACCAGCAACTAAAATAGAATTACCTAGGTATCAATACCAACAAACTTTGCTAAATTTTTGTTCATCGAGTTTTGATTAAAAAAACTTTGTGTATTGAAAACTCTCAAAAAGCTTTTAATATACGCACATAAGCTATTTTAGAACAATGTTATTTCAATCAGTTGTAATTGTAGCTTTAGTTATTTACCATAAAACTATGTTGTGAATTTTTGCTAAAAAAAGCAATGATTTGAGTTAAAATTATGTCAAAAGTAATACTTTTATAGCCAAATGTATTTTTTTATTTACAAAGTTATCTTTTTAATTTTTAAAGTTATTTTTATCAATGTTATAAGAAAAAATTTAAACTTTTAATTGACCAACCAATGAAAACTGTTGACGTCAAATAAGTTAAATAAGTGAAGTTAAATAAGTGCCAGTTCAAATAACCTAAAGTTTATTGCAGTGCTCGAAATAGTGGCTGATCAACAATCAATGATTAACTGCTTTTAAAAAAATTGACATTTTGATCGCCTAAAACTAAATCTGGCCAATCAAATTTGATTGGCAGTATTTGCTCATCAAACTTTAATAATAATAATAAGAAATGCATTTGAAATACAGAAAGTTAAAAATATTAAATTAACATCAAAATTATATTAAAATGAATTAGATAGATTTTAAATTTAATTCATTTTAATTTAATAACCAACAACTTATTTCAATTCTAAATAAAATAACATCGGCAAAACAAACGTTTTACTTATTTTCTAAAAAAAACATTTAAAATAAAAAAACAGCAAAATCAAAAACTAATTTATGTTTTATTTTAAACGAACATCTTTTACTGAATTTCTTTTAAAAAAAATTAAAAATTATCTTATTTATTTCTAAATAAAATAAATTATTTATATTCTAAAATAATTAAAATAAATGTGGCAAAACTAATTAATTAAAATTTAAATTGTAAACAAAATAATGAAAATAAAAATGGCAATGTTTTATTTATACTCAAGAGAAAATATTTGAAAAGATATACGGAAAAATGTACGTTTATTTAAGTTTTTAATAAGCAAATTTATTTTAAAGCAATTTGATTATGTAAGGTTAAAAAAAAAAACAAAAAAAAAAATTATTTTTAAATTTTAGTAAAATTTAATAAAAAAATGATTGTCAAAATTTAACTTTTTTTTTTATTTCAGCCGATCAATGTTGATCAGCAACCATTGAAGAATTATTTCGCTGTTGTGGTAAACATAATTAACTATATATCCTCGTCTGTCAGATAATATCCTATGTGTCAAATACACATAATTTTATTTAGCGCTCATACATACACATCTTTTAGTGTAACATGTGCTTAAACACTGCAAATACTGGTATTAGTTTCAATTAAGAGATATTGCAAAGACCCAGTGATAACTCTCATGCAGATTTCATTCTATGAAAACTTAACAATTTTCAGAAATTTATGTTTCTTGAAATAAAACTCATCTTTCGCCTGATGATTGTTTTTTTGTTGAGTTTTTTAAGGTTAATCATATGTTTAATTTTCTTGAAAAAAAGTTTTAAACAGATTTTAAACAGATTTTAAAAAAAAATAGATTCAAAATTTAAAAAGGATAAAAGATTGTTTTTTAAACAGATTTAAAAAAGATATTACCTGACAGACAACAATATCCTATCGACTCTAAATTACAATTATTATTAAACAGTATTCACAAGCTAAAATTTAAATATTTTAGAATGATGAGCCAACATATAATGCTTATATTATGTTATAAATTGACTTAGATGTTTTAGAAACTAAATACAAAATATTTTTCTAAGTTTGCAACAATTTGATTAACTTATTTTTAAATGTTATGTATGAAAATAAAACTCATTTGTGTGCCAATAAATGCAACAATACCAATAATGTTAATACAGTAACCAAAAAAGAGTTGATGAAAAAATGGAAAAACGTACTAACCAGGTTTCTTTTTTTTCTTCTTTTTGTTTTTTTTATTTGATTCTTCAATATCTATAAATAGAAAATTTATAAACATTTGTTAAAACAACTTTAACTTAAAACTGCAACTGTTTTACATAATTATTATCTGCTTTAATATTATTTAATATTGATTTAAACTAAAAATAAATAAATATTTAAAATAGAAACTTAATATTTAATAAAAAAAAAAAAATGGCTAACTCTCTAGTTGAGGAGTGTGGGGAAGGGGAGAGGAAGGGGGAGTACTTTCTTTATTGCACAATATAACTTAACTTTAAATCTAAATTGTTATTAAATATTAAAAAACAAAAATAATGCACTAAATTGTAATATTTCTACAACTTATTGTAATATGTCCGAAATTCTATTCTAAAAAAAATTGTAACTAAATTGTTTTATTACTGTTAAAGAAAAGTAGTTGTTGTGCAGTACTTAGAGTTCTAGCTCAGAACCAAGAGTTTCAAAGTTAGATGCAGGCTCTAACCAGTTATTGGACATTAGTAAAGGAGGCACAAACTTCAAGATTAATTGCTTCTGTGCTGTGCTCTGTAATAAGACTGCTAGATCCTCTTGAAGCACTTTAATAAATAATTTAAAAAAAAAATTGATGTTTTATTTTAAATTTAAGGATGCATTGGCTCAATACAGGTGTTACATAAACTTCAAGAATAGTAACCATAATCATTGATAGATGGTTTTAAAAACACAATATATTAATTTTGTGATTTTATTTTGTATACTAATATATTAAAGTACCCAGTCTTGGTCAGGAAGGTGTGTGATCAGACACCATTATATGACCACAAAAAAAAAAATTTTTGTTTTGACAACTTGATCACGGTTCTTAACATGTTTTGAACTGGAGTCGATGTTGTTAATTAATTACTACTTATCAGTTAAATTAATATTATTTATTTGAACACTTCCTTTCAAATCTCAGCACATCTAAACTCTTTTAAGTCAGTTGGATGCAAAACATTGGTTTCTTTTTCAATTCCCATTTGAATAGCTGGAACAACTACAATATTCATGGTTTTAGCCAGCCTGATGGCACCATGTATGGCATGGTATTCCCAATTGGTTTAAAATTCCCAAAGGTTCATAAGATTATAGTAAAAAAAAAAAAATTAAATTAGTCTCACATTTATAGTAATGCACTAGACAAGTAAAAAACACAATTAGTATGCAAAACTGATTTTTTTCTTTAATGTTGAAAAAAGCGTTGCTATTAACAAGCAAGATCATTCAATCCAATGTTAAAATAAAACTTTTTTTAAATTTAATTGGAAATAGTCAAAAAATGTTTTGTTAAAAATTAAAGACTACTTTTTTTTTTTTTTTTTTTTTGCATTTATAATTTAAAAATAAAATTTAAATTTAATTTTTTTAATTTAATTAAATAATTTAATTAAATAATTTAATTAAATTAATTTAATTTTATATATAATTTAATTATTTAATTATAATTTAATTATAATTTAATAATTTAATTAAATTAAAATTTAAATTTAATTGTTAAATAAAAATAAAAGAAGACAAAATATGTAACTTATTGTTTAAAACAAGATCAAAGTTTCAATGAATAAATTTGAATAAATGAATTCATTCGTTAAAAGTTTAATTGCAAATAAATTTTTGTTCTTGTTTTCTTTTGTTCTTGTTTTCTCTCTAATATATCAAACAAAGAAGAGAAGCAATATAAAAAAGCTCAGAATAAAACAAGGTAAATAATTATAATAAAACATTTATAAAATAGAAAAATATTCTTGTTATGAATATAACCCAGCAAAAAAAAAAAATTTTTTTAATTGAATTTATTTGTATTTAAAAATGTCAAATTTATCTACTTTTTTAAATGTCAGAATATATTGACCTTTTTTTTTTCTTTTTTTTTTTGGCCAAACCTATAATGCAGCACAAATTGCTATTTGGTGTGTGGCTTTTTTATTTTTGGGGCAAAGTTTAGACAATTGATTATTAAAAGCTGCATTTATAACAAAGTTATCAACAAGCATATTTTTTTTTACCCCTTATTTTGATCATTTGTATTTTTAATTATAAATTTTTACTGGAAATAGCAAATTTAATTTTGAAAAAAAGATTCTTGACCAGATTCTTGATATGTTTCTAATTCAGTGAATACTTTCAAGAGTTTTATGAAGGGTTTCTGAATACTGTCAAGAGGCGAATTAAACGATCATGAATAGTCATGGACTGAAGTATTTGAGTGGTCTTGAAAGTATATTATTTGAAGCAATTATTATGATTATTAATTTTTTATATTCCTGGGTAAAAATTTTTATGAAAATAAGTTTTCTCATGCTTTGAAACGATTTTTATACAAATTAACTTGGTCAGATGATTATTACTTTTGGTTATTTGTCTTTCAGATCTAGAAAGCTAATTTTAAAATTAATGTGTGTACTTTTTGGACCACAAGTAACACCAAGAAATGTTTATCTATTAAGTTTGTTTATTTGTATGAAGTTAATTTAAGTAGTATTAACCTCAAACTTTTTTAAATTTTGGCATATAAAAAAACGTATTTTTATCCTGTATTTTTATTACCTGGATTGACATCAGTTTTTTATAAATAATATTTAAAACATAATAGTTGTAAGAATCTTATAAAAGAACTTTGCTATTTTTGTCGCAGTAAATTTATTCCTTTTTCTGCAAAAATTTTAACACTAACAGCAAAACAGCTGTTTTTAGAAAAATCAAAAACAGCAAACAGCTGTTTTTGATTTTTCTAAAAACAGCTGTTTTGCTGTTAGTGTTAAACAGTCAAGAAAAGCGAATTTACTTAAATTAAACAGATCGAAAAAATTTTTTGCAGAAAAAGGAATAAATTTAAAAAAAAATTAAAACAATAAAAACACTCATTTTTTAAATGAGTGTTTTTATTGTTTTAATTTTTTATATATATATAAAATTAAAACGAAGCAAAAAACTAAGAACCTAAAACTTTTTCCCTGCGTTTTTTGTAATGATTGAACTTAATTTCTGTAGCGTATTGAGTTTCAGCTGCATAAAGTTTCACTTAAATGAATTTTTTGGATTTGGACATTTGCATATAAAAGTCTCATAAAAAGAAAAAATACTAAGAATTAGTAAAAGAAAAGTTTTTGGAGTACTTAATGACTACATGTTTACAAACAACGACACGTTTATGAAAACAATATGTATGGTAATTTGATTCAATTTTTTTAATAACAATTTAATAAATAATTTTTTTTTAATAACAATTTAATAAATAATTTTAGGATAACGAGTAATAATAAAATTATAAATAATGAGTGTGAAGATAATATCAACTACAATGATTTACTTAATAACTCATGCAAGTTGATAAAATACATTAAACAATCAAATGTTCAAAATTACATTTCTCAGTCAAAAGTCAAAGTTTTCAGAAAAGAAATTTAGCTTGACCTACAAACTTAATTATACCAATAATGTTAAAAAAATTGATAAAAACAGACCAAAAACATTATTAGAATTTATAGCAGATTTTTTGTCAACAATGTAGTATCAAAAGTGATTCAAAATGCTCAATAGTCAATACAACTAGCTGAATAAAATTAAAATGAAAATAATAATTTATAATAATAATAATAAGTAAATTAAACTAGCTGTAGAATATCGTATAGAGAAGCCTCTACAAGTGTTGCAAAGAAGCCTCTGCAAGTGTTGCAAAGAAGATGCAACACTGTTAAGCGTTAAAATGATATTAGAACTCATGTTTGAGAAACTTTTTTTAATTAACAGTTAAATTAGCCAAACGTTAATAGATAATTTGAGAATTAGAACTAATAAACCCTGGAATACAGACATCAGGGCTTGTTTAGAAGAGTTAGAGAGCTTGCATTAGGCATAGTTAATTCATAAATTTCATTACTCAGTTTATTAAGGAACTAATTTATTACTTACGCTATTATGAGAAATTTAGTTAAATTTTTTATTTTATTTAGTTTTGACATAGGCCTTTGTTACATTTCAGGCTTTCACAGGAAGACATGCGATTGCACGTCTTTATATGACCACACAAAAAATAATATATTTTAACAATTTGACCACGACTTTTAACATATTTTCAAAATTTAAAAATGTGCTACAAAAACTTACCTATCAAAAAAAAAAAATTTAAAAAGAAAAAATTTCAACGAAAGAGAAAATTAAAAAAATAATTAGTTTAAGCAAAAACACAAAAAAATAAATATATATATAACCTAACTAAAACAAAACTCATCAAACTAAAATGCTTAGTCTATTTAATTTATGATTTAAAAAAATATTTCAATCTTTGTTTTAACATTTGTATTTTTTTATTTTTTATTTAATGTTTTAAAAGATAAACATTTCTCATAAAAAATACATAATTAAATAAATAAAAAAACAACAGTTTATTAATACTTATTTCAAAAATTAAATAGAAGCGTTTTGTTACTTCATTGAAAAGCGTTTTAATAATATAAAAGCAGTACCTTACCCAGCCGTAGTCTCATACCGCTTTACGGTATGGGCGCCTAAACTAATGCGCTCAAACTAAAAACTGCACATATCTTAAAATACAACATTTGCAATGTCTAACATTATTTCATAAAAAAAATTGTCCCTCACTTTTCAATTTGTTTTTATTCGTATTTATAAAATTCCTTACAACAACATTCCTAAAACTTATTTTATCGATATTCAGAAATTGTTGACAAAACAAAGTTTAATTTCCTAAACATACATTAAAAAAATTAATTAAATTAATTTGTTTAATGTATGTTTAGGAAGTTTAACTATTTCTTTAACTTATTGTTTTAATTTGATTATATTTTGCTTCTAAATTTTTTAATAAGAAACTAGTATTGTTACCAAGTTACTTTCCCATAAAATACTTGTTAAATTAAATGTTTAGGGAATATTTTCTAATTTTTAATATTAACATAACACAAAGTTAAATCCAAGCGTTATCTACAAAGGAGAACAACATTTAAAAGTAGTATTTAATTTGCACAGGCAATCCAATGGAATTACAT